AAAGAGCCCCCCACCGCACAGACACCTATCAACAGGGCACCACGGCACACACACCTATCAACAGGCCACCACGGCACACACACCTATCAAGAGGCCACCACGGCACACACACACCTATCAGCAGGGCACCACGGCACACACACACCTATCAACAGGGCACCACGGCGCAGACACTTATCCACAGGGCACCACGGCACACACACCTATCAACAGGGCACCACGGCGCAGACACTTATCCACAGGGCACCACGGCACACACACCTATCAACAGGGCACCACGGCGCAGACACTTATCCACAGGGCACCACGGCACACACACCTATCAACAGGGCACCACGGCGCAGACACTTATCCACAGGGCACCACGGCACACACACCTATCAACAGGGCACCACGGCGCAGACACTTATCCACAGGGCACCACGGCACACACACCTATCAACAGGGCACCACGGCGCAGACACTTATCCACAGGGCACCACGGCACACACACCTATCAACAGGGCACCACGGCGCAGACACTTATCCACAGGGCACCACGGCACACACACCTATCAACAGGGCACCACGGCGCAGACACTTATCCACAGGGCACCACGGCACACACACCTATCAACAGGGCACCACGGCGCAGACACTTATCCACAGGGCACCACGGCACACACACCTATCAACAGGGCACCACGGCGCAGACACTTATCCACAGGGCACCACGGCACACACACCTATCAACAGGGCACCACGGCGCAGACACTTATCCACAGGGCACCACGGCACACACACCTATCAACAGGGCACCACGGCGCAGACACTTATCCACAGGGCACCACGGCACACACACCTATCAACAGGGCACCACGGCGCAGACACTTATCCACAGGGCACCACGGCACACACACCTATCAACAGGGCACCACGGCGCAGACACTTATCCACAGGGCACCACGGCACACACACCTATCAACAGGGCACCACGGCGCAGACACTTATCCACAGGGCACCACGGCACACACACCTATCAACAGGGCACCACGGCGCAGACACTTATCCACAGGGCACCACGGCACACACACCTATCAACAGGGCACCACGGCGCAGACACTTATCCACAGGGCACCACGGCACACACACCTATCAACAGGGCACCACGGCGCAGACACTTATCCACAGGGCACCACGGCACACACACCTATCAACAGGGCACCACGGCGCAGACACTTATCCACAGGGCACCACGGCACACACACCTATCAACAGGGCACCACGGCGCAGACACTTATCCACAGGGCACCACGGCACACACACCTATCAACAGGGCACCACGGCGCAGACACTTATCCACAGGGCACCACGGCACACACACCTATCAACAGGGCACCACGGCGCAGACACTTATCCACAGGGCACCACGGCACACACACCTATCAACAGGGCACCACGGCGCAGACACTTATCCACAGGGCACCACGGCACACACACCTATCAACAGGGCACCACGGCGCAGACACTTATCCACAGGGCACCACGGCACACACACCTATCAACAGGGCACCACGGCGCAGACACTTATCCACAGGGCACCACGGCACACACACCTATCAACAGGGCACCACGGCGCAGACACTTATCCACAGGGCACCACGGCACACACACCTATCAACAGGGCACCACGGCGCAGACACTTATCCACAGGGCACCACGGCACACACACCTATCAACAGGGCACCACGGCGCAGACACTTATCCACAGGGCACCACGGCACACACACCTATCAACAGGGCACCACGGCGCAGACACTTATCCACAGGGCACCACGGCACACACACCTATCAACAGGGCACCACGGCGCAGACACTTATCCACAGGGCACCACGGCACACACACCTATCAACAGGGCACCACGGCGCAGACACTTATCCACAGGGCACCACGGCACACACACCTATCAACAGGGCACCACGGCGCAGACACTTATCCACAGGGCACCACGGCACACACACCTATCAACAGGGCACCACGGCGCAGACACTTATCCACAGGGCACCACGGCACACACACCTATCAACAGGGCACCACGGCGCAGACACTTATCCACAGGGCACCACGGCACACACACCTATCAACAGGGCACCACGGCGCAGACACTTATCCACAGGGCACCACGGCACACACACCTATCAACAGGGCACCACGGCGCAGACACTTATCCACAGGGCACCACGGCACACACACCTATCAACAGGGCACCACGGCGCAGAGACCTATCAACAGGGCACCACGGCACACACACCTCTCAACGGGCCACCACGACACACACACCTC